CTTCTTGAGCAGTTGTTTGTTTGAAATACTACTATCAATCACACAAATTGTGGCTAACCTAGGGGAGAATTTGAGTCCCAGAACACTTGATTATGTTCATGCAATACCTATACTCAGACCAGAAAGCAGTCCTCAACATAGAGCAAGGAAACACTGCATGGTTCAAAATCAGGAAAGGAGTGCATCATGGATACATCCTGTCTCCATACCTTTTCAGTCTAAATCCAGAACAAATAATTCAGGAGGCAGGCTTTATGTGGAGGAATGTGCTATCAAGATTGGAGGAAGACTCATCAGCAACCTATGTTATGCAAATGACACAACCTTGCTTGCTGAAACTGCGTAGGACCCGAAGCACTTAATGCAGAAGCTCAAGGACTATGATTTCAATATGGATTGAAGCTCAACATCAAGAAAACAAATATTCTCACCACTAGGTCAATTGGCAGCATCATAATAGGTGGAGAAGTGATTGAGGTTGTTAACAGCTTTCTCAGCTCCACAATCAGCACCTCTCCAGAGTACTGAGAAGCAACGACATCAGTCTAGAGACTAAGGTGAACTTGATTCAGGCCACAGTCTTTGAAATTGCTTGTTATGCATCAGAGAGATGGACAATAACTAAGGATGACAGAAAAAGAATTGATGCCTTCATGTTGCGGTGCTGGAGGAGAGCCTTGAACATACCATGGACTGCCAAGAAAACAAATAGGTCTGTATTGGGGAGGGTGAAACAAAATTTCTCCTTGGAGGCTAGGATTTTTAAGATCTGTCTCAAGTACTTAGGGCATGTGGGCAGGAGGAATTGGTCCTTAGAGAAGAACATAGTGCTTGGAAGGGTGGATGGACAGTGCAGGAGAGGAAGACCCCAAGTGAGATGAATTGATACTGAGGTAATAGAGGTAGGTGTGTTAGAGTCAGTGAGACTGGCTCAGGATAGGGCAGGCTTTAGAACTACTATACATAGTGTTGCCACAGAGACCAATGTTTGTATCTCAGACAACTGCTTACAAATATTTATATCTCATTTACCATTCTTTAATTGTTGTTGTTGTTGTTGTTGTTATGTGCAATAGAGTCTCCTGAATTTCATAGTGACCTATATTCAACAGCTCTGAAGCCTGTCCTGTCCTGAGCCAGTCTCACTGACTCTGACACATCTACCCCCATTGCCTTAGTCACTGTATCTCAATCCATCTCAACAGAGGTCTTCCTCTCCTGACTGTCCCTCCATTCTTCTGAGCATAATGTCCTTCTCCAAGGACTGATTCTTCCTGGCCATGTGCTCAAAGTATATAGAGAAAGAGCTTCAAAAGCCTCACTTCTAAGAAGAAGCTTAGTTTCACACTCTCTAAGACAGAAGTTTAAAATAATGTCCTCATGTTTGTGTTGTTATGTGTGTCGTGAACCTTGGGCCTTAATTAATTACTCATATACAAAATATATTACATATACAAAAGCCAATTATAATTTATTAATTAATTCATAGCAACAATAAAAACTTATCTACATTGAAATTCATAAATTCACCACAACAGATTGATTCATCAATTCATAGCAAGCATTAATTAATTTCAATCTATCGATATTGCAATGCATAAATTCATCACAACATGTTAACTCATCAACTTATAGCAAGCATCAAACAGTTAATTGCAATTTATCTACATTGCAATTGATAAATTTATCACAACATATTGATTCATTAATTCATAGTAAGCATTAAACTGTTAATTGCAATTTATCTACATTGCAATTGATAAATTTATCACAACATATTGATTCATTAATTCATAGTAAGCATTAAACTGTTAATTGCAATTTATCTACATTGCAATTGATAAATTTATCACAACATATTGATTCATTAATTCATAGTAAGCATTAAACTGTTAATTGCAATTTATCTACATTGCAATTAATAAATTCATCACATGTTGAATCATCAGCAGTGGAGAACACTTACCCCGGGATCCCAACTTGTCATATTTTTTGCCTTTCATGGTCATTGGTGCAGTTGCTGGATTCTCCACTAGTTCAGCAGTTTGATGTATCCAGGGGATTCTCAGCTAGTTCAGCAATTTGATGGAGCCAGGGTCCATCAGTGTGGGCAGAATCCTCCACTGTCTCGGTAGCCTATGACCATCAGTGTAGGCTAGAGTTCTTGGCTCTTAAAAGAGCCATTAGGTCTTTGGCTCTAAAAAGAGTCTTTGGGTCTTCAATATTCAGCTCATCATGAAGTGCAGAAAAACAGTTGCTGGGCACAGCCAGAGTTTTATCTATTCTGGCTTCCCTGCTTTTCATTATGATGAGGTAAGTGGGGCATGCTGAGACATGTTGAATACCGATATGAGTTTGACCAATCATGTTCAATACTAGTTGTGTTTTCTTGGCAACATGACAGTTACCAGTCATATCTCCTTATCAAGGGTCCACACCTGTTGTGGTCAGTGGGCCCTAGGCCTCTAAGAAGCCTAATTGAACATATTAATTGTTCAGTATGTTTTCACAAATATTCTTAACATAATTTCTAACAGCAAATTCCTAACTTATTTCTTATTTTAATTCTAACATATATATGTTCTTAAGCTTGGAAGGAGGATTGGCATCCACTTCCATAATAGCTTGCCTCTGGAAACCCTATGAACGTGGAGAGAGGATGAAAGGCACCCAAGCATCAAGGACTCTCCTTCATAGGGTCACTATGCATTGCCTGCAACTGGCTGGCACTTAACAACAATAATATCAACAGAGAGAGAAAGAGATCAGCTGGCCCTCGGGCCCATCTTTCATTGTTTTTGTTCAGACATTCCTCAAGGTCATATAGCCCTAGTGTACAAGTTGCTGTACCGTGGTCACTTGTGGTTGCTATGAGGCTGAACACTGTGATACTGATGTGTCAAATGTATTAATGGTTGGCTACCCAATGTGGATAGAGAGTGCAGTGGAGCTCCCCGATTAAAACAGGCTTGAAAGGAGGAGTGGCATCCACTTCCATAATAGCTTGCCTCTGGAAAACCTATGAACCAGGAGAGAGAATGAAAGGCACCCAAGCGTCTAGGACTCTCCTTCATACGGTCACTATGAGTCGCCTGTGACTTGATGGCACTTAACAACAACAACATGTTCTTAACATATTTCTTACTTTATTTCTGATATATAATATAGCAAGTTCTTAACATATTTCTTATTTTAATTCTAACATATAACATACAGGTTCTTTTTTATTATTATTAATTTCAGTAAAAATTTACAGAGACTTTGGATTTCCATTCATTCATTGTTGCACTTTTCTTCCCTTCCAACCTTCCCCCCAGTACACTACCCTCTTGTAAAAGTAAAACAAAAATTCTTACATTGTCATACAAACCCTCTCCCAGGTCCACTCCACCATGTAGCCTTCGCTCTAGACACTTGTCATGACAAAAATACCTAATCACATATCCCTTTTAAACAGTTTTCTCCCTCAACTGTTTCAATGCAGTATACATTATTGAGCCCATCGTTCTCAGTCTCTCTCCAACCCCAAGGTCAGTCATGTTTTACAATATTGGCCCCATGCAGTATTTGTCCTTTTGTGACTGAGATACTTCACTCAGCATAATGTTCTCCAGGGTCACCCATTTTGAATAATATTGCATGGGTTCCTTGTTGTTCAATACAGCATAGTATTCCATTGTGTGAATGTACCACAACTTCTTTATCCATTCATATGTTGATGGGCACTTAGGGTGTGCATATATCTGCTTGGATGTCAGTTATGGTCTCTTTGGAGTATATTCCCAGTAGTGGAATTGTTGGGTCAAATGGTATCTCTATTTGCAACTTTTTGAGAAAGCACCACACCGCTTTCCACAGGGTATGCACCATTTTACACTCCCACCAAGAGTGAATAAGGGTTCTAGTTTCTCCACAATCTCGCCAGCATTTGCTGCTTGCTGTTCTGTTAAATTTTCCTATTTTGACTGTGGTGAGATGATAACTCATAGTTGTTTTAATTTGCATCTCTCTTAGAGCTAGGGATTTTGAACATGTCTTCATGTGCTTGTTAGCCATCTGAAAGTCTTCTCCGGTGAAAACATACAGGTTCTTTACATATTATTGATTATCACACATAACATAGCAAGTTCTTAACATTTTTCTTTAATTCTAACACATAATATAGCAAGTTCTTAACATATTTCTTACTTTAAAATTTACAGGTTACCTTCTCTTAGCAACATGGGCAGTAAAAAGTTACATTCCCTTATTAGGATCCACACAGTAACTTTATAGGCAAGTTACTATCAGTTACATTCCCTTATCAAGGATTTGCACCTCCTATGGTCAGTGGGGCTCTAGGCCTCAAAGAGGCCCCTTTTGGCATGTTAAACTGCTAGTATATTTTTTATAAATATCCTTTTTTTATACTTAAGCATCAAATTCATTATAATATTTTTCTACAGCAAACATATTTAATAATGTGTTTTATAGCAAATTACAATTTAAGATATCTCATAATATGTGTTACAGCAAAATTAATTAAACTGCTCATAACATATGTGCTGTCTAGTCACCTGTGACCGACAGAAATCCTATAGTACAGCAGCTCTGAAGCCTGTCCTGTCCTAAGCCAGTCTCACTGATTCCAATACACCAACCCCCCAATTGCCCCAGTTACTGTATCAATCCATTTCATCTGGAGTCTTCCTTTTCTGCACAATCCCTTCACCTTACCGAGTATGATGTCCTTCTCCAAGGATTTATCTGGCCATGTGCCCAGAGTATGTGAGACGGAACTTCAAAATCCTATCTCCAAAGAGGAACTTCATTCTGCCCTTTCTGAGACAGACCTATTTGTTTTCTTGAAAGTTTATGGTATGTTCAAGACTCTCCTCCAGCACTACATCTGGAAGGCATCAATTCTTTTTCTGTCATCCTTAGTCATTGTCCATATTTTTAATGCATAGCAGAGAATATGTTATGATATTTGAACTTGGAATACCCCAAGGCTATGGTCTCTAGACTACATGACCAGTGATCATTCCTTTAGTGTGTTTTCCTATAATTAAGAGGTTTACTACATACATTATATGTTTACATCATGTCAGGTACTCTTGTTGAAAAACCACCTGTCAAACTTTTACAGAATCATAAGTATGATCCTTTTACTTACACATATGTGATAATTTTATCTCTCTGCCTATCCACATATACTTAAATGTATTTTTTTTACTACTGATAATGCAGAGTTGTGTAACTTATTGGTATATTGTTGATAAGCTTGAAATAATTTCTTCCACCAAGCAATTAATCATTGACAAAGGGCCACAAAATGTCACATGTGAAGATAATCTCTTTAACAAATAGTGTTGACAAACTTGAATAATCAGTTGCATAAAAATGTAGCAAAATCTATACCTCACAGTATATATAAAACAACTAAAGATGAATCAATGCTCTAAGTCTATTTTCTTTTTCTATTGAAGCATATTAGTAAATAAAATCATTTTACTGTAGAAAATAAATTTTGTTTGAACACACCAGAGTTCTTTGTGATTTTTTTGAGAACATTTATAACCTCCTTATTTCTCAAGCTATAAATAAAGGGATTTAGTAAAGGAATTATTATTGTATAAAATATTGCCACTGGTATATCTTTATCCCCTTCTTCAAATGGTCGAATATACATGAGAAGACAGATGTAGAATATCGAGACAGAGAAAAAGTGAGATGCACAGGTGGAAAAGGCTTTACCTCTCCCCTCTCTGGATTTCATTCTGGCAATTGTAAACAAGATGCAAAGATAAGAGATTAAGACGGTGGCAATGGTGAAGATTTGAATAGGCATTGAGAAAATATATATCATTAACTCATTTAAAAAGGGGTCAGCACAAGACAGTCTGTACAATGGAAGAATATCACAGAAAAAGTGGTCTATTTGATGAGAGCCACAGAAAGTTAATCTTAACAAAAGAAATACATGAATCATGGAATGCAGACTCCCAGCTATGCATGCTGCTATGGTCATCTGTATGCAGAGTTTCTTCGACATCGTGGTGTGGTATTGCAGTGGACGGCATATTGCCACATAGCGATCATAGGCCATTGCTGCCAGGAGAAAGCAGTCTGTAGTTTCAGCAAGGCAGAGAAAATAAAATTGTGCCATGCATTCGTAAAGGGAAATCAATCTGTCTTCAGAAAAGAAGTTCTCTAGCATCTTGGGTGTAATGGCACTGGAACAGCAGGAATCCATAAGAGCCAGGTTGCCCAGAAAGATGTACATTGGTGTATGAAGACGACGCTCCATGACAATCAATGCCACTAAACCAAGATTTCCCACCATGGTTATCAGATAGATGATAAAGAACACAACAAACATAAGGGTCTTTAGCTCTGGATGACCCATGAACCCTGTGAGGATGAAGTCTGTTGTCAGGGATTCATTATCTTTAGCCATGGTGACACAGAAACTGTGGAAGGATGAGAGTCTATATTAGAGGGTTTTGTACCCACCTATATAGGAATGCATTTGTGTATAAGGCTATATCCTTAATAATGTGTTTGAATGAAAATATTTCTACATATATGTTTGTATGTGGTATAATATATTCATGTATACAGTCAAGCAAATATGGGCAAAATTATGAACAATTTTAAGGTATAACCAAACACCTTGAGGGAATAATTCACTAAGCCTGAGAACTGAGAACTATATTTTAATGGAACATCAAAGTCAATTGGCAAAATATAGTCCCCAGCATCAGTCTTGTACACATCCTACTTTGGTGAGTAAAAATTGAGGACTTAAAAGTTTGCAAGTGGCTATCAAAAATGCAACTATTGAGCGCTCTGGCAACAGGCCATCTTGGAGGGCAGAGGCCTGGCCCACTGGACAGCTGAGGGGAGCGGCCTCTGGGGGCCCTGCATGGGTGCCCCCCGCTGAGCCTCGCTGCCCCGGGACTGCCTGCTGCTTCCAGAGAAGGTGCTATGTGGAAACAAACACCACAAATATCTTCCAGTACTAAGCCTCCAGGAGAAAGGACCCGATCTGCCCTAGTCCCTGCAATGCCCTTCGACATGAAGCCACCAGAGAAAGAAACCAAACCACTTCAGGACAACCCGATTTGGACCTGCAGGCCAACTGAAGAGCTGAAACTAAAATTCAAGTGCCACAGGGCAAGACGATGACCTCGTGTCAGGAAAAGACGCCGAGGCCCATATGCATCCCGTGTGGAAACCACTGACAACTGTGTAATGGAAAAGATTTACTTTTTGTTTAATATTTATCACCTTTCAGAAAACTTTATCCCCACAATTATGCCTTTTGAACAATTTTGTTTAATCAATTAAGATAAAAAAAGCAACTATTATTCATTCCTCTACCATGGTAAATAAGAGTGGAAATATCAATATTTATTAGTTCAGAAGACTATTAGAATAGATAATTTTGAGTCTCTGTAACCCAGAAGTCTGAGGAACCAGATGATGCTTAGTTACCAATGCCAACTGCTTTGAAAGGAATTACCAGAGAGGATCTCTGTGGAGTTGGGGAATAAAGTGGAATAAAACTAAAAATTATAAACATGATCTGCATTGCGGGTGAAAGAGATTATTTAAACCTCTGAGGCTATGGCCTGGAATTGAAATACTTTTGCAACTCATCTTTCAGCCAAACAAGAAGTAAGCCTTTAAATTGAGTATTAATACCTATGAGGAATAAATTTCTTAGAACAGTCAATCACACAAAACCAAAAGGGCAGAATTTGCCAAAGGATAAAGCAACACAGAAGGAAAGAAGGGATAGGAAAGAACAACATCATGTGTCAAACACTGCTTCTGGGTGTTGTCAGAAATTAATTTGAAAATGTTAGTGTGGAAAAGCATTTTTGCATGATTTATTCAATGTTAACATGTAAATTAATAGTTATTATAAGTAATTTACTGTTTCTTAAAGGAAAAGATAATTTCCTTTGATATTTTACTCAAGGAAAAAATAAAATGTAAATATTATCCTAGTAGGATCAATATTTGGAAGTAACCATTCTTTAAATATTTTAAATTCTATGGATGTCAGATGAGACTCTGAGTATTGGATTAGAGCGCTGAGAAGCCAAAGCTAAACGAAGAAATCAAGAAATCAAAGAGCTGAACAGAAAACTTCAAAAGGCAGCTCGGGACTACAAAACAAGATACTATAATGAAATGTGCAGAGAGCTGGAGTCAGAAAATCAAAAGGGCAAAACTCGCTCAGCATTTCTTAAGCTGAAGTAGTTGAAAAAGAAATTCAAGCCATGGGTGGCAATACTTAGCTAGTTTGGGTAGAATTTTGAATGATCCAGTAAGTATAAAAAGAAGATGGAAGGAGTACACAGAATCACTGTATCAGAAGGAATTGGCTGACACAGAGGAATTTCATGAAATAACATATGAGCAAGATCCTATGATGATGAAGGAGGAATTTCAAGTTGCTCTGAAGGAATTGGCAAAAAACAAGGGTCCAGGAATTGACAGCAAACCAATTGATTTCTTTCAACAAACAGACGCTGCCCTGGATGTGCTTACTAAGTTGTGCTAGGAAATCTGGAGGACAGCCAGCTGGCCAACTGACTGGAAAAGATCAATATTTGTTCCCATTCCAAAGAAAAGTAACCCAACAGAGTGTGGAAACTATCGAACAATATCATTGATATCTCATACAAGCAAGATTCTGCTGAAAATTATCCAAAAACTTTTGAAACAATATGTCAACAGAGAACTGTCAGATGTACAGGCTGGATTTAGAAGAAGTCATGGTCCTAGGGATATTATAGCTAATGTTAGATGGATCTTGGCAGAAAGCAGAGAATATCAGAAGAATGTCTATCTGTGTTTCATTGACTATGCAAATGCTTTTGACTGTGTGGATCACAACAAACTATGGTTGACTCTAAGAAAAATGGGAATCCCAGAACATTTGGTTGTTCTAATGCGAAACCTATACTTGGACCAAGAGGCAGTCGTCAGAAGAGAGCAGGGAGACACTGGATGGTTCAAAATCAAGAAAGGGGTCCATCAGGGATGTATTTAGTCTCCATATCTTTTCAATCTGTATGCAGAACAGATCATCTGAGACGCTGGACTGTACGAGGAGGAATGTGGCATCAAGATTGGTGGAAGAATCATCAACAACCTGCGTTATGCAGATGACACAAAGTTCCTTGCTGAAACTGAGGAGGATCTGAAGAAAGTCAAAGACTGCAGTCTTCGATATGGATTGAAGCTCAATATCAAGAAAACAAAGTATCTTACCACTGGGCCAATTGGCAGAATCAGTATGGATGGTGAAGAGATTGAGATGGTTAACAGTTTTAGTTTGCTTGGTTCCACAGTCAACACTCTTGGTAGCAGCAGCCAGGAAATCAAGAGATGAATTGCATTGGGAAAGTCAGTTGTGAGGGACCTCTCAAGAGTACTGAAGAGCAACAATGTCAGGCTGGGGACTAAGGTGCGCCTGATCCAGGCTATAGTCTTTGCAATTACGTGCTATGCATCAGAAAGTTGGACACTGAATAAGGATGATAGAGAATTGATGCCTTTGAGCTGTGGTGCTAGAGAAGAGTGTTGGATATACCATGGACTGCTAGGAGAACAAACAGGTTTGTCCTGGAGAGGGTGAAGCCGGAATGTTCCTTGGAGTCAGGGATTCTTAAGCTTCATCTGACATACTTTGGGGATGTTTCAAGGAGGGACTGGTCCTTGGAGATGGACATCATGTTTGGTAGAGTGGAATGACGGCGCAGGAGAGGAAGATCCTAGATGAGATGGATCAGTTCTGTGAGTGGAGTGGTGAGAATGAGTGTGTTTGAGATGGTGAGGTTGGCACGGGCTAGAATGGCACTTAGAGCTTTTGTACATAGGGTTGCTATGAGTCACAAGCAACTCGACGGCACATAACAACAACATGAGTTGGGAACTCACATATCATAATGGTTCTGATAAGAGTTATTTCTCTCTGGCTATCCTGCCATAGATAAGGTCATGAGCGGATTTGTAGAAGAGTTATTCATCCTATCAGACTATTAGACTAGGTAAGGATGTAGAATACCTCAAATATTCTTTATATATTAATTTGGAGCTGTGGTGGTGGAGAAGAGTATTGAGGGTACCATGGACATCTAGGAAAACAAACAGATTCATCCTGGAAAGGGTTAAACCGGGTGGCTCCTTGGAGACAAGAATTCTGAGGCTCCGTCTAACATACTTTGGACATGTTGTAAGGAGGGACCGGTCCTTGGAGAGGGACATCATGCTTGATAGGGTGGAGGGACAGTGCAGGAGAGTAAGGCCCTCTATGAGGTGGATTGATTCAGTGACTGGGGTAATTGCGATGGGTGTATCGGAGACAGTGCGATTGGCACAGGACAGAGCAGAGTTTAGGGCTGTTGTACATAGGGTCGCTATGAGTCGCAAGTGACTTGATGGCACATAACAACAACAATAATTAATTTGGAGACAATTCTTTATTTCTCTCAATATATTTTAAATTATTCTAATTTGGTATGATGAAATGCTCAAGTTAGTTATCATTGATCTATTTATTCACCTCTCTCTGATTTTAAATATCTCTCCAGACAAATTTTGAATTATGCTCTGAAAGAACTGGCAGAAAACAAGGTCCCAGGAGTGATGGAATACCAGCTGACATATTTCAACATACAGATGCAGTCCTGGACGTGCTTATTAGGTTGTGCCAGAAAATCTGGAGGATGACCTCCTGGCCAACTAACAGGTAATAATCCATGTTTATTCGCGTTCAAAAAACAAACAAAAAAGGTGATTAGAAAGAGTCTAGAAATTATTCAATAATATCACTAGTACCACACGAAAGCAAGACCCTACTGAAGATTATCCAAAAACGACTGGAAGAGTACATTGACAAAGAACTGCAAGTAGGGTTGAGAAGAAGCAGTTGTACTAGGGACATTATAACTATTGTCAGATGGATCTTAGCTGAAAGCAGATTACCATAAGAATGCCTAATTGTGTTTCATTGACTATGCAAAAGCATTTAAACATGTGGATCACAACAAATTGTGGCTGACCTTGAGAAAAATGGGAATCCCAGAACACTTGGGCGATCTATACTTTGATTAAATAAGAAGTAATCATCAGAACAGAGAAAGGAAACAACACATGGTTCTAAATCAGAAAAGGTGTATGTCAGGAATGCATCCTATCTCCACACATTTTCAATCAGTATGCAGAACAGATTATTTGGGAGACTGGATTTATGAGGTGGAATGTGGCATCAGGATTAGAGGAAGACTCATAAGGCAACAACTTGCCTTATACAGATGACATAACTTTGTTTGCTGTAACAAAGGAGGGAGACCTGATGTATTTACTGCAGAACGTAAAGGACTGCAGCCTTCAGTATGGATTGAAGCTCAACATCAAGTAAACAAAGATTCATCACCA